AATTAACCAGGTCTTAAGTCAAAATGCCACCAAAATAAACAAAACACCGTTATGCCTTTTTAAATCTTATTTAATATTTGATGTATTTTTGGAATTCAATATAATATATAATCCAACAGAGGGGCCATCAAATTATTTAAAATTGTATTTTTTAAATATATTTTATTTTAATCAGCATTTATTGTGCTATTTTGACAATTATTTGCAGTTATTTTTGTATTTAATAATACATTTATTTGTATTATACTTGCAGTGTTGTGCTAAAAACATAATAGATAAAACATAATACAAACATGATCTATAAATACATTAAAATATGTGATAATTTTATGGATAACAGCAATAATTGGTCAAAACTATATTTAAAAAGTATTTGACATAAATGGGTGACATGTTTTTATTTGATTATAAAAAATCTACTTCTAAAGGTAAAAAAAAAAAATTTATTGGGGATAATATTAATATAAATTAAAAAAAAAATTCTGACAATGCTTCTAATTCCATCCCATTTTTAATTTTGATTTTAATTTCTGATTCGGACCCTTTTCCTAGGTATGCTGTGCTGCGTTTCAATCAGTACTTCAAGACCAAACCTGATGTAATGGCCCTGGAGATCCCCAAATGAGACGTCAAGATTGAGAGGACAGTGCTGGTATCTGCTGACCTCATTGTTGACCGTTTGACCATGGAATCAGAGGCCTTTTCAGTCGGGGCAGGGTATGGGGATACAGCAGGGGTGAGCACTGGGACCGCTTATGATTGGTTGACAACTTGTCTGCCAAGGCTTAGTTCCACAAATTCTTGATTCCTTTTTCAAACACCATGTTTCTCTTTGGGACTGAACTTCTAGTTCCCATGAAATGAGTGTTTATATGTTTTAATTACAATTTATTTATTAATTATTATTGGGCACTTGTTTTGCACCAAAGTAGTCCTTCCGCTCTTGGAGCCGACTTTGCTTTGGGGCTTCTTGTTATGGGTTTGGCGGTGTGAGAGCCATAACAAACGTATGCAGATTTGCTGTTAAGGAGGCCTGTAGTGATGTTTAGCAAAGATACATTGATACTGGGGGCGTTGACTAACACGAAACACCTCAGCCTGTAGATTCATAATGCTTTTGTCAAATGGTTGAGGCCCACTGTTGTCTCTTTTGCGATGACAAATGCTGGACAAAAGACCAAAAATGTGCTAATGCTTTCAGATTTATCTCACTGTGCCGTAAAGATGAGAAGAAATTGGGGTAATGGGTAAAAATCTGGGTTGTTAATACAAAAGTTTCCGGTTTAGAGCCAAGCAGGGGTGACTCAGGAACTAGATAGTTGCCAAGGTCAAAATCCTGCACTATTACGCACTTGAGCAAATTAGTTAAACCCTGCAATTAGTCACTTTGGATGAACTCCGTCAGCTAAAAGGCAAGTAACCAAGTAACCATTGAAGTCTATCTGACCTCACTCTATACATTCCCAAGAAGTCAGGGCCACGAGACCCCTCAGCCACATTTCCATCTATTTAGCTTTTATGGCTGTGAGGAGTTCCGTTGAATTTTCCACTCATCACAGGCTGTGGAATATTACCACCTGCCTCCCACTTCCCCCTCCTTCTCTCGCTCTCTGTCCTAAATGCGTTTGCATCACCTGGCAGAGCTCAAACTGAGATTTGAAAGTCATTATCTGCTCAATGATCACTAAGCTCATTCCTAATGTAAACCCCCTCCTTAAACATCAATCTAATGGTTTTCCAAAACTGGAAACGGGGCAATATTTATGTAGTTTCAGTGTTGTGTAGTTTGATTCGGGTCACCATCTGTGAGGACTCAATGTCCTGGATCGAAAAGGACAACATTATTTAAGGTCAGAAATTAATTGTGGATTTAAGGATGTAATTGCCATTTCACTGGAGAAAGTCCTTAATACCTGGACTGTCTGATTGCATGTGGTTTTGAGTGTTTTTCAAAACATTTAGAATTTCATCTAGTTTCAGTGCTGTTCATCTAAAATTCTCTCGCCTACAAGACGAATCATTTCACATTTCACATTTTATTTCTTTTTGTGTATATTATGCCTTCACCCGAAAATTCAAAGTACTGTATTACATGGTATTGAGAATCCAGTGGAAATTATTGAGAAGTATGACAATAAAAAATCAATAAAACATAAAAAATGTGGAGGCATTAAAAGAAAATGGGGAGGGAAAAAATTAACTAATGGAAATGTCAGACTGTCTGAAAAACAGATTCTATTTTCTTTTAATGCAAATGCAATTTCTTAATTTCCGCATCACTTTTGTGATGAGATATGACCTGAATATGTGATTCCTCCATTGTGAGTCAGTACTGTATCTGTATAACTGGAATAACTGTCTGTCTGGTAGCTTCTTGAACCCAAATGTCATTTTCCTGACCGACCAGATCAGTCCCTAAACAATCAGTACAGCAGTCATTTTCAGAATGTCTCGAATCTGAAGCTAGCCGTTGAGTTTGAGCAGTGGGGTCACTGTGAAATCTCCGACTCTGTGTCAGGAGCAGGTTAATAATGAAACGCTCTAAGCCACAGGCAGCAACTGAAAGCGAGAGGCCCTTCAACAAAATCATGAATAATTTGTAGCCAGTGTTTCTCTAATGAGTTGGAACTGCCTGATAGTTCTGTGCTAATATACTTTGTTCTGGTTGTGTCCACTTCTCACTGCTTGGATCTGAAATTCAACACTGAAATTGCAATTTTTAGGTGAATCTTAAGAAAAAATTTCCATGTGAAATTTCACCCTACAATTAAAAGTAAAAGTAAGAAATAATGTTTTGCAAAATGCAGAAAATGCAAAAACATTCCCATTTTTGCAATGTTAAAAAAATACTGTGTGAACATAAATTAAAATCCGCATAAATTAAAAAAAAATGTAAATCTATTTCACAAATGTGATATACAGTTTAATGTGCATTACAGTAATGAAAAGGCTAAATGTATTAGAATTACAGTAAGCTGCTGGGATTGTCATAAAAAAAAAAGGTCCTACAAACTTCATATTCACATACATATTTCTTTTTTTTTATTTTGTGGTGAAATATGGCCTGCATATGCTCTTGGCAGTTTCCGTAAGGTTCAACTTTCAAGGTCAAGGTATGTTGTGAAATTTCACCCTACAATTAAAAGTAAAAGTAAGAAATAATGTTTTGCAAAATGCAGAAAATGCAAAAACATTCCCATTTTTGCAATGTTAAAAAAATACTGTGTGAACATAAATTAAAATCCGCATAAATTAAAAAAAAATGTAAATCTATTTCACAAATGTGATATACAGTTTAATGTGCATTACAGTAATGAAAAGGCTAAATGTATTAGAATTACAGTAAGCTGCTGGGATTGTCATAAAAAAAAAAAGGTCCTACAAACTTCATATTCACATACATATTTCTTTTTTTTTATTTTGTGGTGAAATATGGCCTGCATATGCTCTTGGCAGTTTCCGTAAGATTCAACTTTCAAGGTCAAGGTATGTTTTTTTTTTTTATACATATCTTTGTCACTTAGTGGTCCATGATGACTGATGACTGAAAAAGTGAAAAATATTTATATACAGTAGGTTGCATATTTCATACATGCATGAAGAATGTTATAAATTGGAACAACTTGTTCATATAACAGGAGTGCAATTGCAAGCTGTGTGTAGATGTGCATATGTTTGTGTCCACCAGATGAAAACCACTTCTGTTTGTAAAATATTAGTTACTTTTATGATATGAAGGACATTTCTAATGTGAAGGGGGAAATGTTTACAAGCACCATTCCCGCTATTATCTCTATTATTTGAAATGACCTTGTGAATATCCCTTTTTAAACCTCTGCTCTTAAAAGGGATGTTTACAGGAAGCATCTGTGTGGGGATTCTTGTTTCGTTTGCTGCCATGTTGAAAACATACCAAACAAGTCGGCTTCACGGTGTGCGCTTTATTTGAGATCAGTTCTTTTGTGAATGTACTGAAGAAATGTACAGATAGTGTTTCATTTATCCTTATATCTTTAATATTTCTACTTTTTTGTATATTTAACTGAACTGGGAGTGTATTGGGTTGTTAGGTTGGCATGAACCAACACAAAAAAGTGTGTTTGCGCTGAAGACCAGCACGGTTACTATAACGCGCTGATAAGGAGTCTGTAAATACTGTGAAATATTGTGAAAAATACTGTACAATGTTTTGGCTTCTATTCAACTGTGCGGAGAATAATTTAATAATTATTCACATTTTCCATTAAAATGTCAAAGTTGGATCTAATTGTGCGCAGATTTCCTTTGATATATTAATAAATCTGTAATATGCATAAATGCCCATTTCGCGTGGATCAGCGTGGTCTCGGGTAACCCAACGTGTCTTCTGTATAACACCCGGTCCAACACTTAAGTTTCCTCATTGAACTTTTGCCTGTCTCCTGTGGACGGTGACCTGCATTTTGTCCTGGTAGGCACAGGAAGAGCACTATTGAGGATATCCTGAATCAAACAAGCACAATGCAGGCACACACATGCAGGACAACATCCTCAGTGCTAATGTGCTGGAGCTAGTTTTTTTTTTTTTTTGCACGTCTCGCTTCAGAGATTCAGCTTGTATGAATGACTTCCTAGTTGTGCCAGTGTCGTATCGTTACATAAGCATTTAAATGCAAAATACAATGTCATGTTTTTATGTCTGTTAAAGATCTCTTCATCTGGAAAGCATCTTCTGTGTACAAACATCTGATAGACGTCTTTAAGATGTCAGGTTTACATACACTCTAAATCATAAATCATCTTTTTTTTTTTTAAACGTCTATTTGACATCTGATAGGAATCGTCCTATAGACGTATTGCAGATGAGCAAACATTGTAAAAAATACATCTTGCAGATGTCAAATAGCCGGATAATGTTTATGACTTGGATTAATAATTAGCGCTTCACTAATCAGAATCCAGTTATTCACCGATTGCTCCAAAAATATAAAAATGAATCTGAACCACAGAAGTAGCCTAAACATAACATTTTTATTTATGCTTCAAAAACAAACCACAAAACTTGCTTGGAAAAATGCAACATACGGGGGGGGAGAAAAAAACATGTACACCTTTAAATTATACGCTTTTATAAACAAAATAAAGTCTATCTCTATATTTTACAACAGCTGGTTTTGCAACAGTTGTCTAGATTGCGAATCATATTTTTCCTCCCTGGGGTTCATTTTACAGATAAAATACAAACAGTGTATTTCTGTATCCAGCTATATGTCATCATTTCCTTTAACATGTTAGGTTTATCACAACAGTCAACTGGCAAGTATCTTCTAAAATCGCCTCTTTAAAATATAAAAGTTTATCATTTTTAACAAAATGTTTACATTTCAGCTCAACTGTAAATTGACTAGCAGCCCAATAATATGGACCCGGTCATAAGAACTGCTGGAATGATAACTCCGTTATTTTCTTCAGCACAAGCTCACTCTACACACACACTTAAAAAAAAAAAAAAGTAATCCAAACTTTTAAAAATGGGTGTAATTTGAGGGAAGGGCATTATTCACATCTCCTTTCATAAAATGGATAGTAGAAATGATTTGCATATGTACATCAAGTGCAAAATTCTACTCTGAAAAAAAAAATTGTTCTGAATCATATTTTGCACTAAATCAAAAACATTAATTTAATCTGGGGGAATATTTTAAGTGCAGTACCCAGATTCAAACAGCAGAGGACGCAACCAACCCGAAGAAAGACTGCAGTCTTCTCTGCCTTTAGCAAATCTTTAAAGGGGCAAGCTGCTTAAATCTCTGTAACAGAACAGCCTCTAATAGTCACTATCTGATATAATAAACTGGACAAGGAGCTCAGGAATGTTCCTTCCTTTTTCCATGTTAACTTGTTTTCTTTTTGCTCAGCCCTTGAGCTCTGGAAAGTACCTTGGCACAGTCTTAACAGGAACTTTTGCAGGAAAACCCTGGTGACATCAAGAAGCATTATAACACAGAGGTATTAGCTTTTTTTTCTATGGCAAAATGATGCAGAGCTCTCAGTGCATTGACTATTTAAAGAAAAAGTTCATCAAAAAAAATTTTTTTTTCATTGTTTACTCACCCTAATCTCCTTTTCATTTTTGGATGAACTGTTCCTTCCTATTATTGCCAATCTTTTGACATGATGTCAAATTTAGAACTCAGATACACCAAAAGTGAATATACGTATCTGTACCCCTTCTAGAAAAGTCGATTCTTGTGCAATTTCTTATGCACTTTGCAGATTTGTAGAACATTTACTTCATAATATGTGCAGTGACATTTGATTTGTAAAACAATTCTTGCACACCAGCTTCACAGTGCCTTCAAAACTCTCAAGATGTGCAGTCTCACAATGAATATTGTAGATTGAAAAAGTCTTGCTTTTTCCAAGCTGTGGTCAGTATGTAAGACCTATCCTGTCTAGCCTACATCACTGGAAAAATGAAGATCTATGCTTCATTTATCATGTCTGCTGCCTTCCTAACCAACCCTATAGAACCATGTGACCAATCTAGGTTTGAAACAAGTTTGCAAGGACATCCTCACAACTGGACTGGAAAACACTGACCTATACCATTTATTGGACACCATCATGTTGTAGGTAGAGACTGCAAAATCTCAGTTATTTTCTCCATCTCACTCCCTCACTTTCGCGTTTTCTACCCTTTCTGTCCTCCAATCCTTTCCTCCTCCTATCTCAGTCAGTGAGGACAACCAGCTCTCCCTCACTGCGTTCACCCGCATCACTCTCCTCCCCTTCGCTGTAGGGCTGTCTGGGCCGCGTGACATCCCGCATCTCACTCCCTTGGCCTTTCATGGGCTCCAGACCCCGAGGAAGGTAGTGCTCCAGGAGGGCAGGGTGCAAGGCCAATGGGGCCATTGACACCGGCGTGGTCTGGTACTGTCCTTCACTGGTAGGGTACGGTAGCTGCTGCTCTGATTGGCTGTGGGAATAAACGTCAAACCAAACATCAGCTATTTTATAAGACTGATGACTGCATTCTCCAACCAAATGCACCACTGAAAAAAGAAAACTTGTTGAGTGTCTGCAGGCATCACCTTGGAGGGTAAGTTACTCGTTGCTCCTGTCGCCGACTCTTCATCATGGCCTTGTACTCTCCGACCCGCAGTCGTCTGCCCTCTACGATACAGGTCCGCTTCGGCCGGGGTTTGTATTTGTAGTCTGGGTAACGTTCCAGGTGCTGCCGACTCAATCTGGCCTGCTCTTCGTAGTACGGCTGCTTCTCCTGATTGGACATGGACTTCCATCGGGAACCTGAAGGGGTGGCAAACAGTAAGGTACGGCGTTATATAACCAAAGGAAAACTACATGTGGGCACCAAAAGTATGTGGACACTTAAAGGGATGGTTCACCCAAAAATGAAAATTTGATGTTTATCTGCTTACCCCCAGGACATCCAAGATGTAGGTGACTTTGTTTCTTCAGTAGAACACAAACGAACCGTTGCAGTCTGTCAGTCTTATAATAGAAGTGAATGGGAATCACGGCTTTGAGAGTCAAAAAAACATACACAAACAAAACCAAATTAAACCCTGCGACTTGTAACTATCCATTGATGTGTAAAGACACAAAACGATCGGTCTGTGCAAGAAACTGAACAGTATTTATATAGTTTTTTACCTCTGATGCACTGCAATGTCTGAACTGTCCTGAGTGCGTTCGCGTCTTCTTCAGCCGGCGCGTGACACGTATTGACACTCTATCTACAATCTCAATTAGGAGTGTCAATGGTCCATTTGAGAGATAGGTTGCGGTAATGCACTTATAAGTCTGCGATCTGCCGTAAAGCAAGACGATGACGTATCACGCGCCAGCTGTTGAGAACGCGCTCAGGACAGTTCAGACATTGCAGTGCATCAGAGGTAAAAAACTACATAAATACTGTTCAGTTTCTTGCACAGACCAATCGTTTCGTGTCTTTACACATCAATGTATCATCACGAGCCGCAGGGTTTAATTTGGTTTTGTTTGTGTATGTTTTTTTTTTTACTCTCAAAGCCGTGATTTCCATTCACTTCCATTATAAGACTGACAGACTGCAACGGTTTGAGTTAAAAATCTTCGTTTGTGTTCTACTGAAGAAACAAAGTCACCTACATCTTGGATGCCCTGGGGGTAAGCAGATAAACATAAAATTTTCATTTTTGGGTGAACTATCCCTTTAAACAATACACCCATGTGCTTGAACATTTAATGTCAAAATCATGGGAGCTTGTCCTAACAGAATCCACTCATATGGGAATGTTTTTAACTAGATAATACTGGCAAATAAAGATACACTCAATTTCAGTAAAAAATGAGAAGCTACTGAACCAGCTTATGTGGAAGTTTCCACATACTTTTGGCCACAGTGCGTTTGGAGCAGGTTTTTCAATGGGTTTTTTTTTCTTTTACAGTTGGTGAGTTTAAATTCCACAACAACCGGGAATTGAGAGAGAAATCAGAGTAAAAGTACAAAGTAGTGCAAAAAAACAAAATCAGTGAACTGTAGAATTCATTGACCTAATTCTCTACATGTTGCGATTTACTGACTGTATGCGTGCAATGCCGCCTTCTCTTAAAGTGTGCCGCGGGCTAAAAAGGTAGCAAACTGACAGAAATGTAGGCGTGTACTAGAAGGAGCTGCGGGCCATGTTCCGGGAAGAAAAAAAATCTTGAATCAGGAGGGTGTCAGTGTCACCACAATGGAATGGAATGTGATTGTCTTGTGAAAGGAAAGAACAGAGGAAAGCAGGGGTGCAGCAAGGGATGAGGGGGCTGAAGTTTTGGGTGTTGTTTTCCTGGAGCCAGGTGGCTGTTTGTGCCCTGGTGTGACCCCTTTTTCATCCCCTTTAAGACCTTCTGTCCTCCTCTCCATTCCAGGGGCAACAGTAAGTTACATGTTTGAAAATATAGACATGTTTTACAGAGTAACACCAACACTTGTGACTGTAGGATTAGCCGTTCCCATAACCCCTCAGCCCATCCCAACAATAAACAACTGATCTCAAGAAAAAGATAAAGGGGTAGAAGAGATGAAATAATAATACAACAATGAGGACAATGTTTTCAGAACATGTGCTTCGGAATTCACAAAGAGGAATGATTAGAGACATTATAGTCACTAGAGCATTCATTTCGTTGATGAAAAGTGTGAAAAAATTGACAGCAACATTTAAAAAAAAAAAACCCCAAAAAAAGCACTTTGATGGACAAAGCTAACATAATGTGCTTATAATCCTATTAATCGTTGGGCAGAGTGAAAGACTAAGTACAACAATTACAATTTGCAAATTAGAGTCACTTGTCAAACTTGTATCAATCATTTATTTTCATGTAAAATTAATTTTAAAATATTATTATTATTACGACTAGTTCTAAACTGGTAACACTTTAGATTAGGGAACACATATTTACTATTAACTAAGAGGTTTCCCTCTCAATAAACTCCTAATTTGCTGCTTATTGATAGTAAGTAAGGTAGTTGTAGTAGTTATGGGATGTAGAATATGGTCATGCATTAATATGTGCTTTATAAGCACTAATAAACAGGCCAATATGCTAATAATATGCACGCTAATTAATAATAAGCCAGTTAATAGTGGATATTGTTACCTAATCTAAAGTGTTACCAACTATCTTAAATTTACTAACTATCAATAAACTTTCACTAGACGTAAAATGAAAATGTCTTGCCAAAGCGAATGTTTTTTAAAGCAGCAGCTCCAATCTCTCTTACCGAGGATCTTGCTGATACTGGAGTTGTGCATGTCAGGGAACGCCTGCAGGATACGCCGTCTTTCGTCTTTGGCCCACACCATGAAGGCGTTCATGGGACGTTTGATGTGGCCAGAGGAGGGAGTCCGGGATTCACCAAAGCTACCCACACCAGAGACTGCCATCTGCCCTGTTGGGAACAACAAGATTAAAAACAAAACAATCAGCCTAGACACACATAACTTCCTTTTGTTTGACTACACGCCCTGCAGCCAAATGCAATTACACAGGCAGGTGGCATTTGTGTTTGCTGCATGCCAAATCGTTTTTTTATTGTATTAGGAACAGTCCTAAATTCATATGCATTCGTAAGGCAATTCTTTATTTGATCAGAAAAGCACGCAAAGCTAAAATTCAAGTGATCAACTGAAATTTCTTGATTGAAAAATTTGCACACATACTAGTGACATGCAAAACTACAGATCTCATAATGAACTAATCTGTCTTAACTGGTAGCCATATATAATTAGATTGGGATGAGGTGATCAGACAGGTTTCTTAGGGGGTGTTTGCATGAGATCAAAGTGGTTTGCAACAGAATAGAACACAATGCAAGCGATCTTTAAGTTGACACATCATCACTCAAGAAACAACGTAAAAACTAATTTAAAGACTTTCCCATATGAACTGACTAACAGCTAAAGCACAGCATGCTAATTAATGTAAAGCCAAAAGAAAAAACCCCGCAAAAAATTATAGTTGACCATTGTGACCCATACATACCCTCAGTGTCACTGCTGTGGTGGTCCTCATTCATCCGCAGGGACTGTCCATCATCCATCCGCTCTCGAGACGCCTCCTTATAATCAATCAACAGACAGACAGATGCAAATCCAGCTTATGTAAGACATATATAAAAACATTCATCAGTAATCACTGCATCCAGCTGGCACAGCAATTGGTTTATTACGTTAGCACTGATGCTACAGAAGCTGGTCAACATTACAAAAGCATCTCAGCCACACCTATGCTTAGAAACATAAAGAGCCCTAGAGACATTTGTGGTTGTCAAATATAATTTTGAAATTCAAACATTAATGATCTATATTCCTCTCCCTTTCAAATGCATCGGCATTGTCGCCGGTCTACCAGTTCTATAAATGTCAAGCTGTTAAAACAGGTTTAAGTGGAATGCTTCAAAACCCTGTTGACAACAAAGGCGAAATCACGGTCATATCTCCCTGCGGTTAAACTGAACTCAAAAGCAGCAACAAAGTGTCGCAACAGGTGTCTACGGAGACTCGAGTCTGTTCCGCAATTGCCACGTACTCAAACAAGTGAGGTGGGTGGGACTCTAAAAGCAGCTGTTCTTGGCTGAAAGGGGAATGTACCCCTTGTTTAACCGATATCATGAACCTCTGTAAACCAATATCCATCGCTGACCCTAACCACCCCTCTTCTCTTGTAACACAGTGGGTGTTCTGAAAGAGGGGCGCATTAATGGATAGTTGCCCTGATGCTTCGGCCTTGAAGCATGACCAATGGTGACAAACGGCGGGCCCAAGGTGCCGCCGAGGAACAATGTTCCCTCTAATTTTTTTCCGCACTGAGCAAGTATTTCTCTGAGTACAACCTTTAAAACTGAGCAACTTGAGCAAAAATCATTGGTGACGATAGAGTCTACTCAAAAAGGGCATGTTAACTATGCTATAGTTTGATTGATGACTTAGTCCCTTCTATCAACTGTTTAACAGTAACTATGACAGTACAATATTTTTAACCAAACACATTTTATTAAACCACATTTTAATAAAACCATATACACAACAACACCATAGTGCTTCATCATCAGTCCTTTCTTGACTGGCCCTGCAGGTCTCTGGAAGGCCTCTCACAAAACAGCATCTAAAAAACACAGAAGCACCACAATAAAATAAAAAAATAAAAATCTGCCTGTTTTATTTCAGCAATTATAGACATTGTTTAGGTATGCACTCCCCTGTTTGTGCTTATTTCTTCTGGTGTGTACTAATACACCAAAATAGTAATCTACCCTTTAAAAAAAATGTAAAGCTTTAGTCAACTAATTAATATTTTATACATTATAATATTTAAGGATTATTAAAATTGTTATTCAAGTAAAGAGTAAAAATATTGTCCAAGTCAAACACATTGCACATAGTAACTGAATAAACTGTTACTATTTATGTATTTATTAATATTGTAGCCTACCTTAAAACCTCTCCAGTCTGTCCTTGTCCCCTTTCCAGTGGTTGTAGAGCTTGTCCAAATTTATAGGGCCCTCTGCTTGTGCAGACCAGATTCTCATCAGCTGATCCAAGTGGGTGGTCTGAACTCGGTTACGTGAATTTATCTCGATACGATTCATCAGACTGAAACCGCATTCACAGTCTGCACTAGACACTTAGAATGTCCCGCAAATGTCAATCAGCTGTACAAGCGGAGTAAACTCCTCACTTTTTAAAGTCCAGGTTACCATTTCAGCAAATGTCTGCAGCGCTGACATTTTTAGTTTTTCTTTGACAGTTAACTTGAAATCCTTGTACTGATTACAGATGCGCTCGGTGGCAGCCTCGTCTGTTTGTTTCAGAAAAGCATGGAACTTCTCTGTCAGTCTGGTTACATAATCTATACCATGATCAAAATCAAGTGTTGAATCCAGTGTCTCCAAGCTAAAAGCAGACCATTCTTTGAGCTCACCTTCAGGAAATCAAGCATCAAGATGCTCACAGACTTTATGGACAAACAGGATAATGTCCGCTGTATTTATGGCACTGTCACATGTTTCCAACAGCTTGTTCACTCGGTTGTGCCAATAAACATGCCGTCCAAGATACTGAGAACGAAATTTTTCTATTTTAGCTCTGGCAAAGCAATGAGCATCAATGATGGTAAGATTGCTTCGCTGCAAGGAGTTACAGAGCTGAGCGAGTTCTTCCAACACATCTCCAAGCACAGTAATTGCAACTCTGTACTTCGGATCGGTCAGTTTTTTTGAGACAGTATTACGCAACGGGTCGTCGTTGTCAGCTTCTTTTGTGCAGTATTCTGTTAACAGACTGTAATTCCGCAAAAACAAATTTACAGCTTGGTAACGAAACAGCCAGCGAACCTCATTCAGAGGTCTGAAAGACAGTGAATCCACTTCTAAAACGGTTGCCAACTCATCAAATTTGCTTTTCTTCACAGAAGACCTGCTAAATAGTGAATATACTGTCCTGAGAAGTGTTTCCATTTCCTTCATCAACGACACACCTTTCCAAGCATCATCAATTCCCAAACCTTCCCTATGAGCAACACAATGCTGTTCTGTAAGGTGCAGTATTTGCCGTCTCAGTATTGCAGTGACTCCATTATGTTTACCTAACATGACAGATGTGCCACAATATGCTGGGCGCTGCATCCTGCCAGCTGAATGATCCCGGCAAACACAGTTTTGTAAGTGACTTGATTTTGTTCCCTAAACTTAATGTAAAGAACCAGCATTTTATGCACTGTAATGTCTGTGCTTTCATCGACTATCAGCGTGTGGACTTGGGCATTTCTCACACTTTCCAAAGTTTCAGCTTGTACAACTGCATTAATTGACTCCACAAATTCAAATGCATAGTTTTTACTTCTCCAGCTGTCGGGAAGGCTAACATATTTTGCCAGATGATTATGAATTTCTTGAACAGACAGCATGAACGCGTTCATTTTGATTGCAAGAAGCACTTTATCGATCAATATTTTGATTTGTTCAGGGTTTGACTTGTTCCTGTTGGCAAGGTCAATACGTTTTTCTCCTCGAGAAGCTGGTTAATTGAAGTTCCATGCTTTCGATTATACGATACTTTCACAGCATCAGTGTGACATTTTTGTGTTAAGTGGCGTTTTAGTTAGTCAAGTTTCCACTCTGTCCATGTTTTCCCGGTGGAAAACTCTCCTTGGATTTTAGCTTCGGAGCAAATTTTGCACCCAACATCATTAGCTCCGTAGCTGAATATTTCAGACAATTTAACTGATTTACCAGGGCCATCAGTTGTATCCGTTTGAACTATTTAAATTTAACCGTTCTTGTTTGAAAGTCAAACAAACCTTTTTCTTAAGATGGTGCTGAGGTAAAGTTTCTTCTTTTCGTTTTGCTATTGCTGCTTACGGAGTGCCTGCGCGCTGTGTGCGCGGTCTAAAATTGCGCCGCACGGGATCTTCAATTAGTCTAAAATCCTACAATGTGATTTTCTGGATTTTTTTTCTCATTTTGTCTCTCATAGTTGAGGTATACCTATGATGAAAATTACAGGCCTCTCTCATCTTTTTAAGTGGGAGAACTTGCACAATTGGTGGCTGACTAAATACTTTTTTTCCCCACTGTATGTGAGAGCGTGTTTGTGTGCACCAAGATGTCGACTCACCAGCCTTGTGTTGTTGTCCCTCTCACGGCCCATCGGGCCTTGTCCTCCACGCAACAGCTGCTGGGCATCATGAATGGCTTGTGTCACAACATCACCCTCTCCCAAGAAGCCTGAAGAGCGAAAGGGTGAGAGAGAAAGGAAACTTTAGACAAGGTCAAAAGAGAGATACATTTATCACTCTCCGTCTTGTGATGCACAAATAAAGCACTTGGCTCGATCTCAAGAATATGATCCCATCCCGGATGAGCCCCTAGTCTTGAGTCCAAAGGCTTAAGACAAACAGTCATGTCTGAGGTGCTGACACATTCTCAGAGGCTGGTTCAAAGGGGGAGCAGGTTTTTCTGAACTGCCGACAACTGCCATTAATACTTGGGATATAAGTATGTTGGCAGTGAAAACCCCTACGATGGGCCCTTTCTAATAGGGTGCAGAGAGGTCTTTGAATGTGAACCTCAAGGACTTCCCTCTCAAACAATGTCATGAGTGCACAGCAGGAAAACCACAGTGGATATGTCAGACTCATAAACAGGTAAAGATATTCTGACACACCTGGCTACACAACCAAGTTATGGAACTTGTTGTGGAACTGTAATAAAGAAATTTACAGTCACAGTCTAAATCTACTGAACAGTTCTGCTGTTGAGAGGCAGTTGCAAGATCAGTTGTAACAAAACAATCTTTCGACATGTCAAATCGACTTAAGGCACATAGCATGGCTTCAACCTTCCAAGCAAAGCATGTTGGAGACTAGATTTGGCAGTGAGGTGTAGTGTCACCTACTCAGGCTGAGGGCAGATCGAGTAGGACTATGGGGTAGATCTCTGGCTCGGTACCCTACTTGCAAGTGGGCCATTTCCAGTGCCTGAGGACTTGGGGTCTTAGGTTTAGCCGTGAGGTTGAGAGGTTGACTGGAATCCTGGAGCACAAAGTCATTGCGAGATTCACTAACAAATCAACAAATGAATACAACAAAGTGAAACATCTGAGATGACCTGCAGAGCAGGTGACCTGCAAGAAATTGTACCTGGCGAAAGACTGTACCACTGGACCTTTTGACTGGAGTGGAGTGTGGATTGGGCAGCAACGGCAAGGGATATTCCACTAAAAACAAACATTAACAACATCAGAAAGTATGTTTAAAGAAACAGTACAACTTACTGAAATGTACCATGTCTCATGTAATCGCTTAATCAGTTTCAACCACAAAAAGATGTCAATATAACAGCTTAAAGGGTTAGTTCACCCAAAAATGAAAATTCTGTCGCACCACACGGATACCTTGTTTTCGCTCAAATCAAAGCACAAACAACGTAGAAAACACATCCGTGTGGTGCGGCTGACACAGAACAACATAGGCTGTTTGCATTCAGCGGATACTCTCCAAAATGGTGCTACAGGGTGACGCGGAGGAGTTGTTGAATAAAGTCTTTTTTTTTTTTTTTTGCGCACAAAAAGTATTCTCATAGCTTCGTAATATTACGGTTGAACGCCTGATGTTACATGGATTATTTTACAGATCTCCTTGCTACGTTTCTGGACATTGATCGTGGTAGTACCCTTGCTGTCTATGGGAGGGTCAGAGATTTATATAGAATTATATCTTAATTTGTGTTCCGAAGATGAACGGAGGTCTTACGGGTTTGGAATGACATGAGGGTGAGTAATTAATGACAGAATTTTCATTTTTGCGTGAACTATCCCTTTAATGTCACGTAACGTTACATTTACCTCATGAAAGACATTCAGTGACCATAACTTGTTAATTAGCAGGAGAAAATAACTCTAGAGAGGAACATTTTAATAAATGCACTATTCCTTATATGTATTTTTTTTATTTAACTTGTTAGTGATGTCTCATATTGTACAGTATTTTTGAATAAATCAGTCTTAAAAAAATAAGTTATGACAGCCACCATTTAAATGTTTATATTTCAAAAGCGAATTGGAAAAGAAGCAATTATATAATTAAAATGTTGATGGGGAGCAAGTCATTCAACACTGGAGTCTTATATCTGGCCGTGGAGTTTGTTTTATGCCTGTTAATGAATGTATCGTGGACAGCAGAAAAATTGCGACTATCAGCAATGAAGGCAAAGCTTTTCGGTACAGTAGTGGCCAAAAATTATGTCCATAGACTGGATATTTCTCAATATTTGCTTTTAATGACCCTACAAGATTAAAAAATACATAGAAAAACAAAAGGCTCACAGGAAATAGAATACAAGAATATAATCAGTTATTAATATTTTGTTGGTTCTCCCTTGTTTTTGATCCAAGCACAACTTTGCAATATGCTTACAAAATCCCTAATAATAAAATGTTTGAATAATGGTGAAGATTTCCATTTTCCTAGGCTGGACATAACTTTTGGACACTCCTCTAGCTAACGTCACCCTAATTTACAAATATGCGTAAATGGTCAGTGAACATGCTAGAGATCTGCTACCAAACCCAAGCCCAATGGCACCTGGGCAACTATCAGGCTAGGTTCAGGTCAATCATGTCTAACTTTAAGGTAAAAACTTCTAAAAGTGTTTATCGCCAGAGAACATATCTTATTAAGCTGAATAAAGTCTTTGAGCTCAGACTCACTTGCGTCCTTGGTCCTCTGCTCCAGGTTTCTTTACAAAGGCGGCTCAATTGTGTCAAGCATGCTGTTAGCCGACTAGCTCATACACTTGTTCTATTGTTCCCTGTTCTTTCCTTCTAGCCTCCATCTTCTAAGCTAAATGAGTACATGCATGCAGGCATCAAAGTTGTGCATTCACAAGAGTCTTTTAACTGAGTGAGGGCACAGTGCCATACATTACAGACGTCAATGCAAAGAACCCGCTCTGTATTTTACATGATCAATATACACTCTAAATCAATGGCCAACCCTGAGCCATTCTTCAGGGTTTGAGCAAGGAATTCACTCGGGCGGTCATTTAAATTAGTCTTTCTTTCTAAAGTTCGTTCTAAGTGGACCAAAGACATGAGCAAAACCATCAAATCATGCAATAACTACTTATATTACAGAACAGACCTTCAGATGAACATGCATTAAGAAAAGGAAAAAGTTATTTTGCAGTTAATACATTTCTAGAATAGCAAGTATTAACTCTTTCAATTCAGCTTTGCACCAGGCTACTTATTAACTAAAAATACAAACCACAGCTGATAAGCTTGTGCTGAAAAGCGCAAGAGCAAACAAGTTTTTCAAATAACTGACAGGATATTATTTAAAGTCAATTATTTAGGGATTTTTGACAGATGCTATTTGATCCATCTGAAGATAACAGATGGCTGAATCCTGTGCCCTAACAGACTCTTATTGTAAAAGCTAACAGTTGCTCAATATGCCAATAGGTAGGTCTTTCATGCATATATCAGAATGTGCGAACAATTCACTCCATTTGGCGATGGGAGGTGAGTTGAGGAAGCTATTGAGGGATTGGTGAAGCTCACCTGGTTTGCAGGGAATGGGATGCCGAGGCAATCCCATTTGGGCCTCAGAGGTGACGGGCAACGGTTGGGCATTGGGATGAAAGGCAGGGATCATAACATAAGGCATGTTCACCTGCTGGGTCATAGGTCACAGAAAACACCTTAAGTCACCTTATATTGTATTTCACATGGTCCAAATAGTCTTAAAGGAACAGTTCACCCAAAATGGAAGTTTTAGTTTATCACTGTCATGTTATGACCTTGTATCAATTAATTGATTTCTTAACAACAAAAAAGGAGATATAAAACAGACTGTCAAAGCTGATTTAGTCATTTTAGATGAACTATTCTTTATAGATCTTAAGATGCTGCCCAGTCTCTAGTAGTTTATACAGTGAAATAAACTGCAAGGTTTTGAATCGTGACATTCAACCTCACCTGAATTTGCTGCTGCAGTAAGTTGATTTTATGTTGCTGCTGTATCAACTGCTGCTGCTGTTTGGCGATCTAAACAGAGAATCAGCATTTAGAAACCAAACTAATTCATGCGTAGCCCGATTTAAAATAACACTGCTTTTTTTTTTTTTGCACAGTTCCTCCTAAACTTTTTTTGCAAAAATGTTTTTCTTGTCACTTGTGTCTCCACACCTGTTCTTGCTGCTGCCTTGCCAGTTCCATCTGTTGCTGCTGTTTCTCCAGCAGCAGAGCGGCCATGTTCCTCTGCTCAGAATGAGCTCCTAGCAGCTGCTCCCGCAGACCAGAGAGCTGGTTTATCATCAACAACAACTGAAGCTCCTTCTCTGCCAGACTCTCTGGGGTTCCTGTAAACACATACGCACATGCTGGTGGTCAGGCGGAAGATGTCAGTGAAACACAAATGTGAGATGAACCACAATGGAATCATAATGGAAACACCAATCACACACAGAAACAATACTATATGGTTGCTCCATTTGATGATTTGCATGACAAAGTGCATCTATGTGCAGTATAAACACATAAATTCACCTTTTAGGTTGACACTGCCCTGAAGACCCTTCCCGAAGAACTTTTCTTTCCAGTCTGTATTCAGAAGCTTTTCAATAGTGGGCATCACTAAAAAGATAAAAAAAAATAAAAATAAAAAATCAACAAACAATGCAAAAGTAACTTTTAATTATTCATTTATTTAAATTGTTTTAATTTAAAACCGCTGGACAAAAGATGTCTGTAAAAGAAAAATACATTACATTTTAAAAATATATATATATTTATTATATATATATATATATTAATTTAATATATTTAACAATATATAAAATACATTTATATAATGTACTTAATATAATGAAGGTCCTTAATGTAGTTAAATAAAGAGGTTAATAGAGAAGAAAATGCATTTTTCATCTAGATGAGAGAAACACTGTACTGAAAATCCTTGAACTTAAAACCCCAATTATACCAAAAGAAAATTAAACAATTTCGAATTGGTGAAATGGGTGAAAACAAAAGGAAATCCTTTTGAGAAAACACTCAAGGATTCTTTAAATACCAATGATTTCACAAGGGCTGTTAAATGCATCAAATGAAATCACTGAAAAGCTTCACAGAACTTGAAACAAATAAGGGACTTGGATCATCTCGATGTAGACTGCATTAATAGCGATGGCATCCTAATTGCTGAAACACATGGGCAAACCACTTGCATGGGTTTCCATCAAAATTAAACTTTTAAAAACCTATTTTACTCTAAAACAACAGCCTTGAAACATTGGAACACAATGAATGCCATGGTCCAAGTGTGAATATGTTAATTAGCACTCCATGAAGACCTTATTTTTGTAAAGAAATCGTCGCACTTACCCTCACTGACATTAGGCTTCCTGTCAGTCTTATCATGAGCTCTGCTGCCTCCATCTTGACTGGCAGATATGTATGATCGTATTGATTCTTTACTGGGAGAACTCTCCTGAAGAACACAGGGACCATGAAGTTAAATACTCACTATAGAAATCTTATAGAGCTCATCTTATCTTATAAAAAAAAACATGGGGAAAAATCCAATGGCTTTCATTTATAAAACAAGACATTAACAAGATATAGATATCTAAAATGCTGATATTTTTCAACTAATTTTGGCAGATAGCCGATGCCTATGTATTTCCTTTAGTTTGGAAACAACACCAAGTCTCTCCTGTGCAGAGATTATAAACAAATTATTTAACATTTTTGGTTAGTTTTGAGCATAAACTTACGTGTTAGAACTAAATAAACAATAATACACTTATTTTTATAGAGCACTGAAAGCTTTGAAAATAACTATAAATAGTTATTCTCAAATTAAATGCGATGATCCAAAACAGTGAATCTAATCACTCTTCAGGCAAAAGTTTGCTTCAAGAACGACTGCACTGCTGACGTGATCTTATCGCTAGCACACCCTGAGCACATGCGAGTTATTCGTCTTATCGGCAAGGCATATCGGCATTATGTTTTCATATCGGGCCAATGCAGGTTTACATTTTAAGCTTTTATCGGCCGATTCCGATAATGTTCCGATAATACTGTGCATCTCCTACAAGACATAAACACTTCATAAAATTCCGGGTCATACCAAAGGAGATCGTGCATTAGGGGGCGCTGACTTCTCAAGTCTATAAACACCTCTCCTCCTTCGCTGTGCATGACAAAAGAAACACAAGACAACCCAAAGAAAACAAACACGAGGAAAAATGCATCTCTCCCTTTCTGTTTCACTCTCTAGTTCTCTGTATGTATGTATGTATATATGTATATATATATATAGCCCATTGTTACAGAGAAAGAACAAAGGAAGTTTAAACAATGGGCATGACATGGACAAAAGCAATAGGCTGCAGGAAACACAGCAGGGTAACAATACAAACGGAATGTGCCGATGGTCCGTGGCAGAGGAAAAAAATGCCGAACACTCACTGGGCCGATTCCAGTTCCTCCTGTATTTTTTCATCCACTCGGAAAACACAAAAGCAGCCCGTGCATTTATGTTAAGGCACAAGAGAAAGGTTGAACGCTAAGCTCAAACTGGGTTGAATTATTTGAAGAAAAGAACTCAATAGACCAATCTGTTCTTTTGAAGTAGTGATATGCCCATGTACCCAAGCAGGACGGTGGTTTGCGTAAATGGGCGTAGTTTTCTGTTCATGTATTTGCCTGACCTAGAAGCAAACAAAGTTTTGTCTGTAAAAATACAGGAATTTGGTTGTGAGACGGTGCCACAAACTAAGACTTTGGATAATCATTGGAAGTCAATTCAGGTCGCTCTTTCGCTACGAATCAGTCAGTGTGAAGTGCAAATTTGATACGGTCTTCCCAAATCTGATTTAGATACCCAGGACAAGACCCCCTCCTTTCCCTGGGAACTGAGTGCACTCAAGAAAGATCCTTGTCAAATAACCTGCCACCATTGGTGCATTATAAATAAACACTTGCGAGGAGTCTGCGCTATTAAGTTCCTATTGTGACGGAGCTAAAATTATTCCTGTTCCCCCAGTTGAGGAGCGCTGATCCACAAACCAGGTGCAGGAAGTGTGAATTTGTCAGTGCACTTGTAGTTCTAGAGATATTCCAACTATTTGCTTGGAGGGATTTGACTGTCAAAAAATGGCACAGCCTCAAGCTCTAAACGGACTCGTGAAGATTAATGCGAAAGCGAAGCTTCTCCACGCTCATCATGCACAAGTGTTACAATGTTACATTGTAAAAAAAAAAGCAACAGTTGGATGGATAAATCCTAAACCAGCAAAGCCGAGAATTCACAAAAAATGACATGATATGCCTACTGCACATTTTGCATGTAGCAGTAACTTTGTGAAGCATAGTGGTCTTTTTGTCTAAATGTAACAATGTGCAAATCTCTCATTTGAAATACGGAACAAAGTAAATAAAAAGGTAACAATTTCTCACAATTGCAACTTTATGTCTCAGAATTGTGACTTTATCTTATTGTAAACAAGATTTTTTTATTCAAAAACAGGCTTCCTCAAATATTTCATTAGATTTAAAAAGGAAAACACACACACACACACAAAAGGACGGTACTGACAGCATTGTTCTTGATCCTCTTTAATCTTGGCTCCAAGCAAAATGTGAATGAGTAATGGCAAGCAAGCTATAATGGCAAGCTCTTATGTCAGCACATGCAAAACAAGCCAGAAGAATCAACAGTATGATTGATGATAACTGACAGTCGGTCGTACTAGAGAAGTCGCCTCTAGTTTGTTCTTACCTGTTGTTCGGATGTAGAGCCATAAGACATATTTCCAAAGAGCTCTGACAGACTTTTGTGGTCCAAGATAACATCAGCCTCCAGGTTCTTTGCTTTTGAGCTAAAACACCTCTAAAATGAAATACTTCCCACGGTCAGGGGTGCACGAGACAAAAGCTTAAGTTGCCTTACAAGTCGCAACGTGTCGTGTGGCCCCACATTCTGGCCCGCACTCCCCTGATGCAGATACAAGGGGGTTTTTTTCTCCCTTTCCTAGTGATGATCCTAAAGTGGTTAACTTCCACCTTGTGACAAGTCGGGCTTATGAAAATTGTCAAAAAGCACAAACAAAACTGTCAGGAGTGCCAAGAACAAGCCTGTGCTCGCAAAGACATTATTTTATCAATCTTTAAAAGAACAGAAGACTCGTAGTGACACAACACCAGTTTGAACTTGAAGTCCAAAGGCTCTTTTTTGCTTTTTAACCCCCTAAATCATTGCACTTGCCAACTACAGGCACATAACAATTAGACACATTCTAACTTTACAAACACCTGTTGTAAACCAGCTCTTGACACGCCGTGAGAATGCAGCCGAGCACACTGGATGATGGTAGGTTTCATTTAAGACAAGACGGGTGAACTCTTTTGGGTCTTCAGTTAAAAGCAGAAGTGCTTGTAAGATTTGAGCCCATCAGCATGTGACGCAAAGTCCAATCAGCTGTTGAAACCCTACAAGAGGAGCTTCCAAACCCACCTGCCAGTAACTGTACTCTTAACAAAGATACAAAGCCTTGTCCTACACAAATGGTCTACCAACCTCAAGATCATCTGGCCAGTTTTCATTGTCTTCTGGTTGTCTCTTGGAAACGGTTCCATTTGCCAGTGTGAAAGTCTGGAGGAGCAACTCATCTTGTTATATGGAAGACGGTAGACACCCCCTTAGTAAAACTGTCCAGTGACCTCCCAGTAATGGAGAGGATAGCTGGTGCTCTCGATGCCGGATGCGCAAAACTGCGGTCACGAAAGTATGCCCTATAGCGAAGGCAAACAGTAGCATTTGCATGACGTTTGCCTCTGTTATAGCTGTCCACTGAGTACTTTACACAGATAGGGATTTGATAACATTGTAAAAGTGAAACAGGAGAGGGGTATCCAGGAATAAACACGGCACAAAACAAAATCAGATAAATATATAAAGAACATTTTGTTTGTGTTTTGATTTGACTGCTGATTACATTTACTTTCGCTGTACAAAAAAAAAAAGGATACATATCCCCTAATATAAGTATATCTGATAAGACTAAAAAAAGACAGGGGAAAAATTATATGTAAATTAATCAAACAATGCGTTCATTTTGAAGAACACAAGAGTAAAAACATTAGGTAACAGGCAAAACGTCTTCTGGAAGAACAATAATTTTAGGCTAATTAATTGTTTTTAATAAGAAAAAAAACATTCCAGACCAATAATCATAGGGTGTGTGTTATGCAATATCTTTAATAATTGCTCATGCAAAAGCTTTACAAACTCTAAAAGAAACGCCTTCAAACTAATCACGTAGTAATTATAGTAAAAACAATAATCTGGCATTTACGTCATAGGAAATATTGCAATGTAACTTTTACGATGACAGTTAAATCAATAACACAAATTGCTGAGTTTGCCAAAAAAAACAAATGAAACAGTAGCGTGCAAATCTTCAGTGTCTAAAAAACAAAAACAACGATGGTAGTTTTTCCAGCTCACCAGTTGTAAACCTTGTGGCAAGCTAGTAGTCAAAACACCTTTCCAACAAGATACAATACCGACTCTAACTTGAAAAACAAGCAAATCGTCCCCTGGGGATTATAAGGTTCTATCTGACATTTTTGTCAATTTAGTAATTCACATATTCTTATTCTGTGACCATTTATTTACATTATGTAATAGATTTTTTTTATGTTGTGTACATTTTGGGACTTTTTATTTGAAAAAAAGATTCTGTCTACACAGTCGAATGTGTAGACAGAATTTGAAGTTCAATATCTCAAAACTACTTGGAATGGAGATAGAACCTTATAATTCCAAGGGGACGAAATGTATTTTCATTAAGTACTGATAGCTGAGCTTTGTGTAATAACAGCCCTTTTTTGATGGACTTTCCTCTTCCGTGCAGGGGACAGTCCCTAATATTACACGCCTAAACTCACCAGTCTCAATGTTTTGAATGCAGAAAAGGAAAAAAAACAATGCAAATCAACAGGGTTTACACATGAAGAAACCACAAGGACACATGGATTCACAACCAAACTGTGTTATTGGTTTACGTCATGATGAATCGAATATTGTTTCCGGGTACTGCTTCAAATACTATCTCAACTGCCATTTATGAGCATTATATATTTATAACACATAAGCTTAACTCACAGTTTATGATACAGGCTCATGCTTTCCTGGACACCAATATTGTAAAAATTCAGAAAAAATGAAAGATTAGGATTTATTATTTATTATTATATAGGATTCCGTGGGTGTGTATTAGCATCATTTGTTGTTTGCTTTTGGGATCTGATTGTTTGCATTTGGTCCCGGAAACGGTAATGTCTGTATTTTTGTAACTTGTATATACTTGTTTGATTTGAATAAAGTTTCCAACATTCTTTAAATCTTCCTGGAAATTAGGAGCAAAAAACAGACTGGGGATTTCAATTCCAGGTGATTCCTCAACTAAAGAAACTTTTAAGCCCCAGGAGGTTATGTAAATATGTGTATATATATATATATATATAATTAAATACAAATTATAACTATATTAAACTATATTTGAAACTTTATACAAATTACACACATTTTTCTAAGTTGTAACCAAAAATGAAAGATTACTTGAATACTTTTTACAAGAAAATATTTGATTTTGAATTTTGAATACATGATTAACCTGTTGTTTTTAGAGCTTTTTTTTTTTTAGAGTCAAAGGCATGCAACACAAATGCATTTAGAGTTGATTTACCAGAATCGTTCACAAAAAAATTACATTCTGTCCCCATTTACTCCAAAACATGTTACTCGCCATTTCTTTGTAATTATTTGTGACCCTGGACCACAAAAGCAGTCATAAGTAGCACGGGTAAATTTGTAGCAATAGTCAAAAATACACTGCATGGGTCAAAATTATCGTCAGGATGCCAAAAATCATTAGGATATTAAGTAAAAATCATGTTCCATGAAGATATTTATACACATATACATACATACACATTATTTTTTTATTTATTATTATTATTAAATACAAATTCTACGTTTTTTCTAAATAACTTTCTAAATTTTTATAGTTAAATATTTCAAACAGTTTGTAGTTATATTTTTTTCATTAAAATTAATAAAAGAGTAACTAATCAAGATTTACCAAAAGTTAGACAAAAGTGAAAGTGTGCTCAAGATAAAATCTATACGCAGTATCACTACGCACAGTGGGCATAATTTCCAATGAATCAAGCTGTAATTCTGTCAAATTATGCAAATTGTATGTGTATTTATGATGATACACAAATAATATATATTTTATATAAATATACAAAATGCTAGCTTTTAAATTTACCTTAACCACAAAAACTGTTTAATATGTCAGTCCCATCATTTCTATCATATAATGTTTTTAAACAAAATATCATTTGAGATGTTGTGGAAATATCATAAGTTCATAATTTGGCATATGATGCATGTAAACAAATTAAAAGAGCTACGTTTTCAAAAGTCCACAGGGACAAATGTGCCCACAGCTGAAGCAGCAGCCTCACATATTTCCCATAAATCAGCCCGATACGCCAAAACACACATTGTCTGTGGCTCTCTCCAGTCGACTTTGTCTTTTTCCACAACAAAAACAGCTCTAAAGATCAGAATTTTGGGCTCATGTTCTTTTGAGACCTTCTAAATAAGACGTATAAATGGGAAGATGGTATGATTTTTTTTTTTAGAGTCAAAGGCATGCAACACAAATGCATTTAGAGTTGATTTACCAGAATCGTTCACAAAAAAATTACATTCTGTCCCCATTTACTCCAAAACATGTTACTCGCCATTTCTTTGTAATTATTTGTGACCCTGGACCACAAAAGCAGTCATAAGTAGCACGGGTAAATTTGTAGCAATAGTCAAAAATACACTGCATGGGTCAAAATTATCGTCAGGATGCCAAAAATCATTAGGATATTAAGTAAAAATCATGTTCCATGAAGATATTTTGTACATTTCCTACCGTAAATATATAAAAAAAAATTAATCATTAGTAATATGCATTAAGGACTTTTCTCAAAATATATTATATGTATATATAAATATATATGTATATATATATATATATAAATATATATGTATATATATAAATATATATGTA